TTTACTTATAAGTGACTTTTTACATTCTAAATAGTGTAATCTTTTTATTAATACTTATAAGTAGCTTTTGCAATTATAAGAGAATGAGGGATTAAATTTTTTTTTTTACCTATGTACAAGTAGCTTTTACGATTATAAGTTTTTTATTATTTTTAAATAACTTGAAGTGCTTTTTTTACTTATAAATAACTTTTTACATTCTAGATAGTGTAAATATATCTAAATATTTATACTTCAAAAAATTTAAGTTAAATTCAGCATTTTTAATTAAATATTTAGATATATTTAATTTTTCAAAAATAAATATTGATAAAAAATTACTATAATTAAAAAAAAAAAACATATACTAACACTCCGTGCATGGAGCACGAAGTGGAGTACTCCATGCACGGAGTGCATGGAATGTGTGGAGACACTTGCATATGGACTCCATGCAAGTTTTTTAATTATTTTTTTCCTTTTTTTTATTATAATAAATTTTTTATTAATATTTAATTTTAAAAAATTAAATATATTTAAATAATTACTTAAAAATGTTGAAATAATATTTTATTATCTATAAGTAATTTTTACAATTATAATTTTTTATTACTTTTAAATAATTTGAAGTTTTTTTTTTTACTTATAAGTAACTTTTTATATTTTAGATAGTGTAATCTTTTTATTAATATTTAATTAAAAAAATATATAAATAGTTATACTTAAAAATTTTTAAATTAATATTTTTTACTTGTAACTAGTTTTTACAATTACAATTTCGTTTTACTTTTAAATAACTTAAAGTGATCTTTTTAGTTTTAAGTAACTTTTTACATTTTATAAATAAAGAATAACTTTTATGTACAAATATTATTACTAATAAATTATAGGATATGTTTTTTTCGCACAAAACTGGACAGTGCATTTTTGTCACATGCGTTTTCACATTCAATTGGTTCGAAATTGGTTTGGTCAAAGTGGTTTGATTTTTTTGTTATATTATCCTTCCTTATTTTATTTATTTATTTATTTTGTCACGTTGGTTTTCACATTGAACAGATTTGAAATTAATTTGGTCCTTTAAATCTGACACACAATACTCTTTCTCCATGTTCTCACACTATCAACTATCAATCACATCCTATAATTTTATTAGTAGTAATATTTTTTAAAATAATATTTTGTCAAACTGTAGCTTTTTTTTTAATTGGTAGAGCAGAAACGACGTCGTTTTTTATTTTACCTACAGCTTGCATGATTTGAATTTGATACATAGTACTCTTTCTTCATTTTCTCACGCTATCAACTATCGAACATATTCTATAATTTTATTAGTAATAATAATTTTTAAATAATTTTTTTACATAATAATTATTATTTATTTCTAAAATGTAAAAAGTTACTTATAACTAAAAAGACCACTTCAAGTTATTTAAAAGTAAAACGAACTTATTGTTGTAAAAGTTAATTATAAGTAAAAAAATATTAACTTAAATTTTTTAAAGTATAAATATTTAGATATATTCAGTTTTTAAAATTAAATATTAATAAAAAGATTGCACTATCTAAAATGTAAAAAGTTGCTTATAAGTAAAAAAAGCATTTCAAGTTATTTAAAAATAATAATAAAAACTTATAATTATAAAATCTATTTATAGGTAAAAAAATACTAATCCCTCATTCTCTTATAATTGCAAAAGCAACTTATAAATAAATAAATATTAACTTAAAATTTTTTAAGTATAAATATTTAGATATATTTAGTTTTTTAAATTAAATATTAATAAAAAGATTACACTATCTAGAATGTAAAAAGTTACTTATAAGTAAAAAATCACTTCATGTTATTTAAAAGTAATCGAAAAATTTATAATTGTAAAAGTTATTTATATAGATAAAAAAAATATTAACTTCACTATTTTTAAGAAAATATTTAGATATATTTATTTTTTAAATTAAATATTATTAAAAAAATTATTTAAAAAAAAACAAATATTTTAACACTCCATGCAAGGAGTGATCGATGCAACACTTCGTGCATGGAGCCACTCCATGCATGGAGTGGTTCATTTTAATACTCCATGCCGAAGTGTTGCATGGAAACACTCCATACAACCCTCCGTGCATAGAGTAGAACCATTCCATGTGCATGGTGTATTTTTTTTTTCTTTTTAGAATTTTATTTATAGTAAATTTTTATTAATATTTAATTAAAAAAATTAAATATATTTAAATTTTTCTTCAAAAATGTTGAATTTAATATTTTTTTTTTGTCTACAAGTAGCTTTTAAAATTATAATTTTTTATTACTTTTAAATAACCTAAAGTGATTTTTTTTACTAATATATAACTTTTTACATTCTAAATAGTGTAATCTTTTTATTAATATTTAATTTAATAAATTAAATATATCTAAATATTTATACTTAAAAAATGTTAAGTTAATATATTTTTATTTATAAGTAGTTTTTGCAATTATAAAAGAATGATGACTTAATATTTTTTAATATATAAGTAGCTCTTACAATTAAATTTTTTTATTACTTTTAAATAACTCAAACTGCTTTTTTACTTATAAGCAACTTTTTACATTCTAGATAGTGTAATATTTTTATTAATATTTAATTTAAAAATAAAAAACTCTTAAAAAATTAGGTTGTGATCACTATTCATTCTTATCACTTGAGTTTTTATACTCGTTTGGGTTGTACCATTCATTAACCGGTTCACAAAATATCCCTTAAAAGTGGGTTTTGCTCTTTCTCGCTTTCATTTCTCCATGACAAAGAAAACCCTACCACACCAATTCTCAAAATCTGAGATATTGAAACTCAGAGGGTTGAAGGAGAGATTTTGAGAACAAAACTACAGTATGAAGTGAGAAAACAATCTGTATTAGTCGATTAACTGAAAGCATTGTATATGCGATTTTGGCAAAAAAGATTTGGTATATGATTGTTTTTTAGTTTTCTATGTTATTTGCATTTAGTGTGTTTCATTATTGTTTAAAAATACGTGATATCTTTAAATCTTATCTATGCTGAACTAAGAACTTTAGAAATTATGTTGGTTGATGCTCTAACTTTTTTTATTTTTATTTTGCAGCCAGGGCCTTGGGAGTGTCCATGTCAGTATCTTATAAAGCGTGACCAGAAGAATGCATCATTTTACCTCTATCTTACTCTTTCACCATGTAAGTGAATCTTTGTTGGAAATTTCTAAGATAACTTATAATTGAAATTTGTTTGTGTACCAAATGATATTAATTTAATTATTTTTTATTTGGTGAATTGACTAAGTAAAACCTTGCAGTTTAACATCTATAGTTAGGAGGATAGTTAAAAATCTGTTGGGTAATTAGTTTTAATATCTCGTGAGTAGAGACATCATTTTTGGTATTTGCTAAGTATCTTGATTTGGTCCATTAATTTTTTTTCGTTTTTTGCGCCGCAATGACTATTTTGAATGCCATATATAGAGGTGGGTACGGGTCGGTTCAGTTCGATTCTAAAGATAATCGAATCGAACCAAAATTTTCAGATATCTAGTAAATGGAACCATCGGGTCCAAATATAATTATGAAACGGTTCGGATTCGGTTCTGTACTATAATTAAATTTTTAAATATTTATAACAACATTATATAAATAAAACTAGTGACAAATTTAATGATTTTGAAATGTCAGGGACTAGTAGACTACTTTGTTCAAATGATCGTTACGGTCAAAGTTTCGGTTGGCGGAGGTCACAACTTCGATCAGAGGTCATAGCGTCGGTCGACGATTGTATAGGTTTTGGAATGTCAGCGAGGCTGCGAGAGTGAGTGCGAGAGTTGAAACAGCGTTATGCACTTTAGTGTAAGTGTTTAGGGTTATTTAGTGGATTGGATCTTGTTGGGCTAAGAAATGAAACAATAAAATGGGTAATTGGGCCAAAAATTAAAAAATTAGAAATGAAACAAATTATTGGGCCAAAAATTTGGATTTATAAATTGTTAATTTGTTTAGAAAAAATTAAAATTAAAATAATTTGATTTATTTAATATAAAAAAAATTTAGAAAGATTCGATTCTTCGGTTTTTGGTCTAGAACCGAGAACCGAACCGTACCCGTCAGTTCTCAATTCAGATACCCGTTTGGGTATTTAATTTGATAAGAACCGTCGGGTTCGGTTCAGTTCAGTTCGGATTTGGTTCGAGAGATTTGCCCAACCCTAGCCATATAGCAAACCTTAGTAACTATTTCAAATGCCATGACAAATATTTATTCTACTATTTCAAATACTGTAACCCAACTAACATTTTAAAAGAGTCCTTCATACTTTTTTTCTTAAAACAAATCTCATTAACTTTTGTCATGTAGCTTCGATGTTCGGCTAGCATTTGAAACTTGAGCCTTTGTGTCCAGAGAAAAAGTTAACGTGGAAGAAAGAATTGAATTTCATACTATAAATGCTCATGGTTTGATATTTATACATTTGATTTCTAAATAGCTAGGCAATTACATACTATCAATTCTAATTATAATTTTTTTTATATATGTTAATAGAGTATGATAAATGATTCTTTTATCACCTATGAATGCAAATGATGAAGCGACATACTTTAACCCAACATATTTAATATACTAGCATTACGTTCAAAATAATCCAACCCGTGCATTGCACGGACAAAGACTAGTTTAGGGGGTGTTTGATAATCATTTTTATGTAAAAATGCATTTAAGAATGGGAAAGTGATGTGAATTATGTGGTTAAAAAATAAGGAAATATTTTATATTTACGTGTAATATTATTTTCATAAAAAATGTGTGATTAAAAAGAAGAGAGAGAAAAATGCATTTTGAAAAAGAAAGACTACCAAACCGGGCCTTAATAAATGAAAGTGAAAATTGTAAATGAATAGTACAATAAAATAATCAAAATGTACAAACAAAAATCGATTTTGACAGTTTACAAACCATGGCAAAACATTAGGCTTTAATAAATTCAAAAAATCAGAAATTGTACAGAGAGAGAGAGAGAGAGAGTCAGGTCCAGTCTCTCTCTGTTAAGAGTCTCTCTCAGCCACCGTTTAGGACCATCATATTTACAACAAGGAAATTATACGCGTGTTTCACAAGCCATTTCTCTCAATTTTTCATTTATTTTTTTGCAAATCTCTCACAAGCACAAAACCAATTCCGCTTTATCACGTCAATCTCAGATCTAAAACGATACAAATTGCCGAAAACTCCATTCATTTCCCCAAAGAAATCCACATTATTTACTCGTTTACAACATTTTTTTTCTACTATAACTTCCCCAGGATTCAGACCCATTTTCCATAGATCCGATTAACAGCAGGCAATGAGCTAAAATCATCATATAAATATTTTATAAAAATATTCATAAATATTATTTTCTTGAATTTACATACATTTCGAGGTTTGATTGTTTTATATATATTTTTATGGCAATGCAATCTGGGAATGTGGCGGCGCCGGAGAAAATGCCCGGACCGGGAGAGGCGGCGGCGGTGAGGGGGCAGTGGTACCAGTACCCACAGCATCAGCAATTGGATGAGAGGGATGGGTTTTTGATGTGGTTGAGGGGGGAATTTGCAGCTGCAAATGCGATAATTGACTCGCTGTGCCACCACTTGCGGGTGGTTGGGGAGCCAGGGGAGTATGATGGGGTGATTGGGAGCATACAGCAGAGGAGGTGCAATTGGAACCCTGTTCTGCATATGCAGCAGTACTTTCCAGTGGCTGAGGTGATTTATGCGCTGCAGCAGGTTGGATGGAGGCAGCAGCAGCAGAGGGCTGTGGGTTTTGACGGGGGTGTAAAGATGGGAAACTGGAAGGAGCATAGGAGAGGAGGAGGTAGGGGCCATAGAGGAGGTGGGGAGGGGCAGAACTCGAGTGTTGAGACGAATACTAAGAAATTTAATGTTTATGTCAAACCCAATACAGATACAAATGAGGATGTGAGGGACAATAACAATTTGGGTGGAGGGTCAGAGAGTGGGAAAGCAGAGGAGGAGAATGGGAAAAAGGAGAAGAAAGGTAAGAAGATCAATAGTGAAGTACGCTATGTTTAGGTGTATGTACATGCTTCTATATATATGTTTGTGTGAGTTTAGGCATGCATTATACGTGTCTATGAATGGTTTAAAAGGATGGATGCTTTACTTGGATGAATAATTCGTAATTATTGTCCTCTAGGGATTTGTGATTTAGTGGATAGTGAGGTGCAATTTGTTAATTTATTGATGATAGTGCGATACATGTTGTCTTGGATTAGTTGATGATGATTCATTGAGTTCTTCTTATTTATGATCTAATCAACTTTATGATTGGAGGTTAATTTGGACTCATGGGCACTTCCTAGCAATGAGATCAATTTACCATTAATTGTTTCTATATACTCGTAATTCACATTTATGCTTTCCTAAGAGTTCCTATTATTGCCATCTTTACAAGGAGGCATATTTCTGTATAATTTCATGTAGCAAGGATATTAATGCTTGAGTAATTGCAAGTGCAGATCTAGTAGTGATGGTAGAGGATTTCTTATCAATATAGGACTGTATCTAGATTGCTTGAGTCCTTAACATTTCACTTTAATTATGAATGTTTAGGGGACATATTTAAGATAAGGTCACTTGATACATAATTTAGTTGATACATATGAATGCAAGTTCGAATTTTGGGATCTAATGATTTTAAAGTAGAACTAAGATACAATATGTGGAATTTCTTTTAGTCATAGTAAGAATATCGAAGACGGCGAAATCATTATAGAAGATTATGTTGTCCCGAAAATAGATTGATTTAGGCATGTAGGCAACTTGCAGATCATCTAATGCATGTGATTAGATGAAATAGGGTGGATGAAGGAAGTCTTGCAGGGAATTAGCATGACCAGAGGATATCTATGAATTTAAAAGGCTCGAGAAATGGTTATTAGTCAGCTATACTTTATGGTAGAGTGTTCAGCCATTTAAAGACAGAACATTTATAGGATGAGTGTAGCAGAAATGAAATTAAGATGGATGTGGGACTATACTGCAATGGATAATATAAGAAATGAGAGAATATATGTCCACAAATGGTGGTGGTGTGATTAAGGATAAATTAAAGGAAAGACGATTTAGGTGATGGTAGACCTAAAGAATTTCCCATGTAAAATTGAGTAATTATGTTTTAAGACCTTGGATTTATGGGTTTGGTTGTGTTAAGATAGCAATGTATGTAAGCTCTTCTTTGTTATTTGGAAAAAATTGATTTAGGTTGTAGTGACAAGGTTCATTGAGCTTCTCTCATACTCAATTATGATTAATTGCATATGTAAATGTCTTCTAAATTTTTTGATCAATATTCACCTCCTTTAAAGAACGAAAAATAATATGATAATGTTGGATGTTTAGCCCCTGTTTGATCCCCATTACCTAAAAATGAAAATGAGGGAAATAGTATTTTTTAGAAAAATGAGTGGTTGAAAAAGAAGGAAAAGTTTTCGATTTACGTGTAATATTATTTTATGAAAGATTGTGTGGTTGAAAATAGGAGAGAGAAAAATGGAATGTAATGTAATTTAATTTAATGGGGATCAAACGGGGGCTTAATAAGCATGTCATGAAATTCCTTGGCGTATAAGTTGGGACTCTGTAATTTTCAGAAAATGGAGGAAATTTCTCTTCTATTATTGCAACATGTTTTCATAAATGCCACGTATATTTGCATTTTATATGTATTTTTCCACTTGGAAATGCTTGCATGAATGCTTTGCTTCACTAAGATGCCGTGGTTATTGGTTATTTCCCTTTAATGCATGGATTGACCCTTACTGGTTATCCAAAGCACTTGGTTTCCATTTACCATTTATACAGGAACTAATACCATAAGATTGTTTCACTATTTTACTTCCCAATGTCATAGCAGAATTCATAGAAAGCCTAAGCTTTGGGATGTGCTGTTCCATTACTTTTTTAATGTCATTATTCAAGTGGAACCAATAGAAATTGTAAAGGCATAAAGACATCTCTTTCAGATTTCACCTTTTCTTTCTTACTGAATCAATGTCTGGTCATTTTTAGACTAAGCCCTTTAATAATGATCTTAAACAATAAATAGTTATTAATTGATTCATCTGGTGCCTTAACCGAGATGGCATCTATTGATAGTATTGCTTGTTGCTAATTAGCAATGTGACACAATTGGTTGCAAAATGTGAGTAGATAGCTCGGTAAAGACTTCAGGAAGCACACGAGGATCTATTGCTGATTCAGAATGTGAGACAGAGGGTGCTGATGAAGGTTCTGATTCAAACTCTAACATCCTTGATTTCTCCTTTTGTTATAGCTCCTCTTTGTTTGTTATGGTTTTGCTTTTGCAGACTTAGGTGTGAGTTTATGTTCTTAGTGGCTCAATTTATTTTTCTAGAATGTAACCATGTAAATGTTTCCAGAATCCTATAATTGTGGTTTGAGTTTCTCTTATATGCGAAAATAGTGCAACTGTCATTTGAACAAGGTTAACCTATGAAACTCATGTTTTACACATGCAGAGTTTTATTCAAATCTATTTTGTGACTTGTAAAATAGCTGCTTGGACTGTGACAAGCCTCTAATTCAGTTCTTTCTTCCTTCTTTAGGGTCTTGCATTGTGAGGAAGGAAACTCAATCCATTCAAATACTGAAGGAGAAACAGAATCTTAACATAACTCCAAAAACTTTTGTCAGTACTGAGTCATATGACGGGAAATTGGTAAAGTTTCTTATTAACATCATTTTGTCTTCAATCCTTCAGTGAATCCATTAGTCCCAGGATTTGCCTCAATTCATGGACTTTTAAGTTACACCAGTCTCCTGCCGCAGGTTAATGTGGTTGATGGGTTGAAACTGTATGAAGAACTATATGATGATTTAGAAGTTTCAAAACTAGTTAATCTGGTGAATGACTTGAGAGCTGCGGGGAGAAGAGGAAAGTTGAAAGGCAAGTTTACTTGTGCCTACCATTTTATATGGATGACACTTAACCTTTATCTAAAACAAGTTCCCATTTAAATCTGTTTGTAGAAATGTACATGTGACTCTTCGGTTCCTTGTTGAAAGGTGGAAAAAGAAACAAGAAATTAGTGCTCACATAGTAGCAGCTTATAATGGCTAACCATGTGCTAATTTAGATGCTAACCATAATTGAAAGACATTTAATGCTTATTCATGTTCTGCTAGTGCTGCAGAACACGAATCATATTTATCTGAGTCTTAGCTATTAAATAACTGTGAAAGAATAATTTTAAATAAATAGAAGTATAGGCTATTAAGACATTGTTTGTCTCCCATTCTTTTAAAACTCTTTTTTCTACATATTCATTTTCAACTACACATTCACACAATAAAAAAATTCTACACATAAATCCAAAACTTTTCCTTACTTTTTAACCATAGATAGATTCTAAAAATTCACTATTCAAGAACATTGTGTTTCCAAAAAAGGGCCACCAAACGGGGGCTAAGTCTCAACCCACATCGTCTATGGTAACTCGCTTGTCTTTATGGAAAATGATATGGGTCGTAGTTCAAATTGAAGTAAATATGCTGTAGAATAAGTTCAAACAATGTGACCTCAAATTTCCAAAAATAAATTTAGTCACCTTGTTGGCATGTTAATTGCGTTTAAGAAAGAATTTTCAATTTTAATGATTGTGTCTTAAATTTGTACCAATTGAAATGTAAAGAAATATGGAGCACTAATGCAGATATCCTTGGGGAATAGCAAAATCAATGGAGACTTAAATTTTTACTTTGACATTCCAAGGCTAAAAGCCCGATCAAATGATACTCGAGTTTCTTAATCACGGAAGGCCCATCTTTGTGGCTGAGAGTGTGGTCATAGATATAAATAAGCTTAAAAAATGATGAATCATCAATGCTTCTAGTGTAAGAGATTTTTTTAATGCTGATTTTATAGTTTATTTTGCGGCCAGAGCAGTGAAGGTTTTAGAGATGCTTGGAAAGGTTTTGTGCCTACTGGCTAATAGAAAAGAAGTTAGTGGGACAATCTTCGCAGGAATATCTTCTGAACTGTTTCCATGATACATGAACTGTCAACTAAGTTGTTTCTGGTCTTGTGGGTGTTCCAGAAAGAGATTTCCTAAATGAGGATGATTAGGAAGCTTGTATTAAAAATATAGTGGACTTTGCACGCAAGTCAATTAGAGTTCATTAAAATTATATAATTTGTATATTAAATCTTTATTTTTGTACTTTTTTTATTTTTCAAATAAAAATAATCCTTTGCTTGGATTTTGAATTTTGCGGGTGAAAACTTTCGGATAAGAGTAGTGACTATTTGTTTTACCAAGAGAACTTCGGGTTCTATGGTTTATTTACTAGTGCCAACAAAAGAAAAAATGCATATATCAGATACAAAAGTAAATTCAACATGAAGTTCACAGAACTTTTCTCATTATTTGAAGTTTTCATACAAGCGTTCAAATATTAATCGTATAAATTTTCCTGTTTTCATATTCCAAAATTTACAAAGTGGAGCTAGTCATATCCTTGACGTGTTGAGGACATGTCCTTGCACATCAGAAATTAAAAACTTGAGGAAGTGTCCCTAATGTGTGAAAATTTTAAAAAATAATAATAATAGCATACTAATGTGGTGTGTTGGACATCTATCACAAAGTGTTTGAAACGTCTTAAGACCCTTACTCTCCAACTTAGGAGGAGTGCTCGTGTCCTTCACTTGTGAGTTGGTTCTAGAATCCAGTAAGGACCTCAATTCAGGAAGATCTTAAGAAAGCTCTGAGTTATCGTAGGTGTGTTATGCATTATATCAAGGATTGTCATTCTAGATCATGGGGATCAAATGCTACTGTCCTTTATAACTGCTTCTTCCTTGCTAGTGGCATGTAACTTGATCTTCTAACTGTTTTACGATTATCTGATAGGATTTTGAATGCCTTAAAACCATTTCAAGTTTTAGAGAACTCAATTTTCTTTTTTACTTTGTTAGGACTCTTATTTAAATTAATTTCTTGGTAGTTAAATGGTATTATGGCAGAATTATATTTTGATTTCCTCTTCACAAATGTTTCAGGTGACTTTTTTTGCTTCTTGAAGTTAGTAAATATTTCACTTCATACTATCAATAATTTGCTTCCCTTTGGGAACTGATGAATGGTTATCGATATGCTTTTTCCAGGATAAAGTTTGTGAAGTTACTTTTTGTTTCGTTAAGCTTCCATTTAATTTGATTACTCAAACCTTTATGTCAAGATAGCTAGTTTGTGTTATATCATAAATAAGAAATCATATTGATGCCTCCTGAACATGTAAATTGTACTAAGCCCTTCTTTGAGCCCCATTATGTTAAAACTCATTTTCAATCACACATTCTTCCTATAAAATAATTTTACGTGTAAATCGAAAACTTTTCCCCACTTTTTAACCACATATTCTCCAAAATTCACTAATACAAAACATATTCTTTGAAAAAATGGGGTTCAAACCCTAAATCCTTTTAGGTTCTATAATTTCTGGAACAAGTGAACAGACCAGAAGTTTTAAATTGTCACATATATGATTTCTTGTTCTGAATTTCTAGGTGAAAGTGGAAATAATCTCTTAGCTAATTACACCGTGTGAGTGCCATTATAATTGTTTCTGTAGTAAACTTGTGTTTTTCCATTTTGGAGCTATGCAACAGTGATCATAATAAAAATTGGTGTTAGACTGAATGTTGTCTGTTTTCTGTTTAAAGGATTGCTTCCGTATCTATCAAAGTGGAAAGGGCATTTATTTTATGATACATTTGCAGATGAATTTTGTCTTAATTGGAAGACAGAAAAACTGTGGGGCAGGGAGGGATGATACCTCTGTCCTGCCTTCATGGTGAAATATAAGGATATTTTCATGCGTTTTCAAGTTGAAAGTATTAAACTCTTGCATATTAAATCAACAAGCGTGCTTTCTTTAATACACCGTTCTTTATCTGTCATTCAATGATGCTTATCTTAGCTCAAAAATAAACATTCTTGTTCTCGAGTTTGACTCCCTGTATTCACACTCATGTCTCTGTTTTCTCGTTTCACAATGACCAGGTCAGACTTTTCTTATCTCAAAGAAACCCAATAGGGGACATGGAAGAGAGATGATTCAATTGGGTGCCTCCATTGTAGATGCACCTCCAGATGATGAATCTGCTTCTGGGATCTCCAAAGGCATCATTATGAGCAGTCTTGCAAATTATCAAGCACTTTTTTATATTTTCTTTTGGAAAAATTCACTTAGATTTATTGAATATTTTGCAGATCAAAAAACAGAGCCCATTCCTGCGTTGCTTGAAGATGTTATTGAACGGTTACTCACTATGCAAGTTGTTAGTGTGAAACCGGACTCATGCATTATTGATATCTTCAACGAGGTTGCTTTCTATAGCTTTTCTTTCAAAGTTTAAAAATCTTTGAGAGCACAACTGAGTATATCTAATTTGTTTGCTTGTATTTGTAGGGTGATTTTTCACAGCCTCATATCTGGCCACAGTTCTTTAGTAGGCCTGTATGTGTACTGTTCTTAACGGAATGTGATATGACTTTTGGTAAGGTAATTACAGCGGACCATCCTGGGGATTATCGAGGTTCTCTCAAACTATCTGTTTTACCAGGGTATGTGCTCTTTCTTTGGAAATTGATTACTTGTCACGTGATACACTTTTTAACTTTTAAGGATGTGATTGCACAGCAGCTGTAGGAATAGCTTTATACGCATGAGTTTGATACGCCCTTGACTACTCGCTTTCATGAAGTTTATGAAAATTGTTTGAAAACTACAGCAAAGGTCTGCCCCTGCCAACACCTCATATTAGTTGGACCAGCTTTCAATTATTTTTCCTCCCTTAAAAACTTGGTTGGTTTTCGTGCCAATGGAACTATTCTTTTCAACTTTTTCGTGCTTGTCTGCATTTTTGTCTTGAAGAAAATTGAGATTTACTGCCATGAGTTCTTGTGTCAATTACCATAATTCAATTGCCATTATAATGCACAGATCCATGCTTGTAATGCAAGGAAGATCTGCAGATTTTGCTAGACATGCGATGCCTTGCATTGGAAAGCAGCGTATGCTTGTTACAATGACAAAATTGCTACCAAAGAAAACTGCACCTAATGACAATCAACGTTTTACTTCATCTGTAGCAGCACCTCCTTCCCATTGGGTCCCACCTCTTAGTTGGTCTCCACCTCATATTCGTCATCCAGTGGCCCCTAAACACTATGGCTCAGTTCCAACTACTGGTGTATTGCCGGCTTCAACTGCTCGTCCACAGGTTCCATCGCCTAATGGCATTCAGCCGATATTTGTTCCTGCCCCGGTTGCACCTGCCATGCCATTTCCTGCACCAGTTGCTGCCCCACCTGCCTCTACTGGATGGCCTGTACCACCTTCAAGGCATCCTCCACCTCGCCTACCACTCCCTGGCACTGGTGTTTTCCTTCCTCCACCAGGCTCGGGTAATTCAGTAAATCAGCCTATATCAATTCCTGCAACTGAAAATATTACTGCTGATACACCATCTCTGTTAGAAAAGGACAGTGATTCTCAGAAATTAAATGGTAACAAAGGCACTTCCCCAGAAGTAGATTGGAAGGAGCAAAGTGAAGAGTGCAATGGCAACATAGATGGAACAAGTCAGTTGAGAGTAACAACAGAAGAACATCAAAACGTTGATTGTGCCAAACCTGCAGCAACAGCTTAGATACAAAGAGGGATAGAAGCGGTTTAATGCTGTATGCTTTTAGGAAGAACACTCGGATGCAAAAACTGAAATGAGTTTAAAGAAAATGTAAAGAGCGGCGAATGTTGAGGCTTACACTTTTCACACTATTAGCCGGGCCTAGAGAGAGGATCTGTTCTGTTCGAGATCCCTTTGTTCCCTGCTACTTTTTGTTGTCGTATTATATAACTTTAATTTTAAATGGAACTCATTCTCAGTGGTAGTCTCAAACAATTTTAGCTATCAAGTAGAGTATTGAGGACGATATTTTTTTTCAAATGCATGGTTCTATATTTATTTTGCGTTGATGCTCAATTGTTTTATTTTTTTAGTCCCCTTTGACATTCCTTCAGAGGTTTCCTTTTTGCTTTCCAAAATGTGCAGCAGAATACTGCAATCCAAGCCTTTGTTGTAAACACAATGGCAACCAACACGTCACTCCATGCGTCAATTTTAGAGACTTATTTTTCCTTAGCACGTGATTAGGTAGAAATATATTAATTATTGTTTTCGGATTATGCTCTCTCATAATGACGAGTCTCGAGCTCTGGGATTATAGCTTGAAAACTCTTGAGCTTATGGATGGAGCTTTAGATCATAGGTGTCCATTCAGGTTATAATACAGTTTTGCCTGCCTGCGTAAACTCTTCACTCCATATCAGCAACAACATTTTGCCACTGTTTCGAGTGTACAGCCCCCTCACTATAGGGGGACTCGCAAAGTGTCAATCCCGATGTACAAATAGTAGAACCCATGTTTTGAAAACCAGTCCAAGCATCCCTTTATAAAAAAGGTAAGGGATCGAATTGGGGTCTCACCAAGGTCGGTTTTTCAAATATCCAGGCCAATTCCCCGGTTCTCTTGGTTGAGCTGGCCGGTTCAGTTTGATTTCCAAAACAATGCATATTGCTAATGAATCTGAAATCAGCAGTCTGCCACCAATCCTGATGGAAATGCATGTTTTAGGACCATCAATGGATGATTATTACTGTTTAATTTCTTCACTCCATTTCAGGCATCAGCAACAACATTTTACAAATGTTTTGAAAACTAGTCCAAGCTTCTTCCCAAAAAGGATAAAGGGTTGATTGGGGTCTCATCGAAGGCTTTTTTTTTTTTGGGATACCCAGACAAATTCCCTGTTTTCTTGGTCGGTTCAGTTAGATTTCCAAAACAGTGGATATTGCTAATGAATCTATAGTCAGCAGTCTGGCACCAATCCAGATGATAATGCATGTTTTAGGACCGTCAATGGATGATTATTACTGTTTAGTTTACTGTTTGTGCAACCAAACAAGCCATAAGAGAATCCGATATAATGACACAACACCACAGGAAGATGATCATTTTTTACATCAAAACGTTATCACACAAATTCCTTTTCAGACAAACAAATCAAGCCCAGGCACTACGCCATCAACTTAACTGTGTACACATTCAAATGTGTATTATGCTATATGTAAAAAGTGTGTTTACCAATTTGATTGACGGAATAAGTGTCGACAAATTTCAGGCCATCGATTTCCAATGATTTAAAAATCTGTTTTTGAAATGATTGGTGTAAATATTACTTTGTCAACCAATTTTGTACATACAACATAACTCTTGAAATGTAAATAACGAAGCGTAAACCTCAGTACCAACCATAACATTTGCCTATTCTTATCAACAACATCATTCTACTTCATATTCCACATATTCACAAGCTTTTCACTGCTCTTTTCACATGTTTCCCTGCACAAATATTTCAAGCAAAAAATAAAACAACTAAAAATTTATCAAGTCACAAGTTTCTCAAGAAATGCAATCGAAACTAGTGGAAGACTAGGAAGTTGGTTCACAGAGGGACTCAAGTCAATGTATTGAGTCTCGTGGTCTATCTCTGTATACCATTGTATTTGGGGAAAAAAAATCTGTTTTAACATCCAATTCCTGACATAGTACAGTCTTTATGATTTTGAAGCAAGATAGATGGAAAATGTAACAGTTGGATTAGAATATATAATTGACCGTTAAAGAGCCAGTAACTCTAGTACCTAAATCATTAGACCAATTAAATTATTCTATAATGTGTCACTTAATATTCACAGCGCATGGGTTTAAAGTGCCATATAAAATGATAACCTGTATCTAAGTTCAGATATTTCTTACTTACATACTTGGGAAATATGTATATTTTATGGTTTTTCAAAATTCTAGTATGAAGGCAAAGGAATAAAAGAAAACATTGCACATCAGGTATAACAGTTTTCATTATCTTCCTTTAATTTTTTGGTCCTGGTGGAAGTTAATACAGCATACCTACACTAAGTATAAATGGTGCTCGATAAAATGAGTTAAACATGGTATAGATACTTTTAAAGAGGTTGAATCCGTAAGCAAAAAGTGATCTTAAAATTCTGTACCTATATCCATTATGTACACTTATTCCATTCTGCACACATACCACATGTTCAAAACAATGAGGAAATAGAATGCATAACACATCATTCTTAAACTTGTTAAAAATTAACCAACATCAGTGCATTTGTAAAACTATAGCCGTTCTACCAAATATATGTTGACAAAATCCTTATTCTGTAAATATTTAAACAAATTAGTTTTAGAATGACCTGAAATACAATAGAATTGGATTCCAGAAAAAGAAGTCACAAAATTTGTACCTTTGATTTGATTCATGCAGGAAAAAAAAAAAAGGTTGAATACTAATGGTTCTGAGGTGAAGACTCAGGCTCAGAACAACAAATGGACGAAAATGACATGGAATCTTCTTTTGCTATGGCCACAAAGTTGAGGGATGCAGTAGAAAGCCTTTTCATTTCCTTAAAGTACATATTTTGGCGCCCAGAATAGGAGCGGGGTGTTGAGAGCTCTGGAGTTGCACTGTCCACTGTCTTTTGACGGGATGAGGGAGTCACTGATCCATTTCCACTGAGAAGGTATTCGTTCGTTTTTCTGAAGCTGGTGCTTCTCCTAGGACTTGGCTTAGAACCACACATGGCTTCTTTCTCAGAAAGTAGCATATCATAGAGTTTCTTTTGATCCTCAGCAAAAGTAAATGCAGAACATCAGAAAAACTTCAGTGCCATCTAACAACACGACTGTATTAAGCATATTGAACATAATCATGGCAATGCTTTTGTAATTAAGTAATTAAATTCATGCTTACTCCAGAACTTTAACATGATTTACATATCTCCAAATCATAAGGTGACTATGATAAAAAAAAAATGCTCGTGCACAAACATGTAAGAAAATTGTATTTTCCAAGCAGAATAAAGCCTCCATTTGACCCCCAGAAACAGCAAAAACTTCCTTTTCTTAATAACTTTGGCAAATATAAACCACAGTTACACAAATTACTTAATTTAAGCCATGAAATAAAATTACTCTAGCTCGCTTCTTCTCCTCTACTTTTTGTTGTTTGGTTAGCTTGTACTCCTCCAAAATTGAAATCAAATGCATCTGTAGACAAAAGACACTCATATCAAGTTAACTTCAACCACACAGCAAATATTTTATAGATTTTCAAAGTGCTTGACCAAAATTCTGAATAACTTACACCATTATAAAGAAACAGTTTCTTTTGCTCATCCTCCCATGTTAGTGTCTTGCTAATCAGCGTTGGGAATCTACTTATACATGCACATCGGAATTTAAAATAATTTTCGATTCCCACCAAGAATCGTCTTTGTGGTTAGATAGAAATTGTGATAAAGATTGTATCTTTGAAGAATTCTGCAATCCTTTTGCTTTTCCTATCGTTCCATCAACCTAGATTCGCCACCACAGCTGTCTAATTGTCCAACTTCTAGGGTTTTCTCTTGTGTCAGCAAGAATAATGAAAACCATATGGATCTCAAATCCTAGCCATGTATTTATATAAACCCAAAAGGTTCGGCCCGGTCTGGTCCAATATTTAATTAATTTAATTAATTAAACTCGGCCCGTGAATTAATTAATCCAATTAATTAATTCGAAAATATAAATAACAAATCCAATTAATTAATTTATCCAACAATTGTTAAATTAACCAATTGGCAATTTGCAATTTTTCAATTCTCTTTTGTGTGCGACCCATTAGGTTCCCGACCACGATACCTAACGACGTGAAATATTATTTTGATCTAATCAAAATTGATAAATTAAAACACCCTTTTAATTTATCGTCAATTCACACTCGCCGTCCCTGATTGACATTTAGCAATGTGTCAGGGCAATACATGTGACGGGAAATGTCACGTGGTATGACAAAACCAAATTTGTTCGTTTATCGTGAAACTATAATCCCTTCGTCAATATGATTCGATCAATTACGAGATATGGAATTGTGTCAATCTCGATCATCGATCATATCTTTCACTCCACTATTAAGTCAATATAAATCGAAAACTCTTTTTTCGACTTATGAGAGTTTTCGACTTATGAGTACACCTTGGCCAAGGATTTCATCATCGACTTAATTAAATGAAACGCAGATCATAATATCCTACTATCTAAGAGTGACGAATCCTTTATTGATCAATCACAACCTTCATACGATTCTTGACGTACCCGAACGATGTCGTATTAGCGGCCCTTTTCAGAGCAACATCCAACATCGTCAAAGTATGACTGTCCTCATATAAGGTACCATGACAACCTCAAGTCAAAGGACCGATTCCACTACCGAACGTTAGAGATTAACCACTGACACTCAGATAGTTATCCATGTGGAATCTTTCGACGGGTCTCCAATATTTTGTTCTATAACAAAATATCCATGTGTTTATTTAAGTGTCATCACACTTTAACTTATGAGATCAGTTACTTACTTCACAAGTAAGAAATACCACACGTGATGGTCTATCCGTAATAACGATATTCGTATCTCGTTATTACTTACGACCACGGATGATTTAAGATTCAATCAGATGTAATTTGTATCTCACAATCACAACTCCTTGTGATTAACAAATTACAAATATTTGAATCTACTGACTCTATTATTTATTTAATTGTCTATTAATTAAATAATAGATCTGCCATTTAATTGCATTAATTATATATAAAAGTATTTATGTCCAAAGTCGATTGGACCTAGGGCATAATACTTACAAACTCCCACTTGCACTAGATCCAATCACTTATGTATCAAATATCATAAGTCTACATGACGATCATGTTTATACTACGACAACTCTTTGTCAGTGGATCTGCAATATTATTAAATGTGAAAATTTGCTCTTCTCTTTACATCATTTCTATGTATTATCTCTTTGATGAGATTATACCGCCTTAATACATGTTTGGATCATTGATGAAACCTTAGTTCATTTGCTTTCGCAATGGCTCTATTGTTATCACAATACTATTGTATGTGATCAACAATATCAGAAACTGCTCCAAGTTCATTTATGAACATTATGATCCATATTGCAACTCTTTGCTACTTCTGAAGTATACATGTATTAGGTTTCTACTATTGAATCAACGGTTGCTTCACGTTTGGAACCTTTCCAACATACCGCTTAAGAGTAAACCAGTTTCTCCATATGAAATCTTCTCAAGATTTCATCTATGTAAATTGGGATGAGTTAAGCAATCTTCTAGATCTACCTCTATAAATCAAGTTGCTTATCCCATTTCGTTTATGAATAAATCATTTAACAACCATTATTTCAACGATTGAAACATAGGGATATCGTTTTCTATAATATTAGGAACACGACAATGCTCCTACTATCTTGTAAATACACAATTCGTCTTCAAATTTGATAAAATCAAACACTTTGACTTTTTCCATCAAATCGAAGATTTTAGCTCCATAGAGACTTATCTTAAACTTTAGTTACGATATGCAACTGTTGCAAATAAAACCTGAATGGATTTCAGCAAGGTCACAGGAGAAAAGTTTCACCAAGGTCAACACTTAACCTTTGCTTCTAGCCTTACTTTGTATATATGGATATCCACTTCCATATTGACATTTCCCTTGTAAAATATTTACAAAACCTTATGGATTTTATTCCATCAGGAGGCTTAGCCAAGGTCCAAACCTTGTTCACATACGTCGAGTTCATCTCGAGTATCATGGCCTCTTATTGTCTCTTTTAAGTCAACATTTGATTTTATTTTGTTGCAACTAGCAGGTTCATTATCCTGGATCACTAATACCTGATTAATGATCATGAATTCGCACCTTCTTGAAAGTCGAATGATCCTATTAGATTCACATAGAGCTGTCATGTCCTCAGGAGTCTTGATCCAAAGTATGTCCCATATCAGATATGAGATCAAACTCGAATTTATCTACTTGGTTAACAATATCTGTGGATTCTTGAACTCTTTCAAGTTCTATTTTGCTCCCACTGTCTTCTCCAAGAGTAAACATTTTCTCTAAGAAGACGATATATCGTGAGACGAAGACTTTCTTCATGATAATAGAATTTATATTCAAATGTCTCATTTGAATATCCCACAAATATGTATTTATCGGATTCGGTCTCAAACTTATCTGATTTAAGGCGCTTCAAATAAGCGTCATGGCCCCAAACTTTCATACAAGATAAATTGGGACTATTGTCTTTCCATAACTCGTATGGAGTTCTGTTAACCAATTTAGATGGGACATTATTTAGTGTGTTGCACACTGCAATCAATGCATGACCTCAAAACAATTTTGGGAAATTTGCATGGCTTGTTATTAATCACATTATATCTAATAATTAACGATTCCTCCTTTTAGATACACCACCTTGCTGCAGTGTATATGAAGGAGTCCACTGCAAGAGAATCTCATTCTCTCTTAGATAATCTAAATTTTATCTTTAAAATACTCTCACTTGATCGAATCTTAATGTGAGGGTATCTTTACCTATTTGTTTCTCTACTTCTAGTTTGAATCCCTTGAACTTTTCAAGAGTTTCATGTTTGAGTTTTTTCATCTCGAATCCATGATCATTGATGAAATAAGAGAAATATTACCTAACATTGATTGACATGAATCCATATGCATCACTATGCATTAGACCAGTAATTATGCTAACCTTTCTTCTTTTCAAGTAAAAGAAGATTTGGTCATTGTGACAGATATGTCTAATTTGTACTTGTCAAAATCTATTAATCCCAAGCATACATCTTTATGTAATTTTGGAATTACATTTCATCTAAATGACAAAGTCTGTCAGGCCAGATTTTGGTAATAATTAGATTATAGTATTTATGCCTTATAACTTCTATACCCATTATAGAATCTTTAGTATTAAAGAATATAAACGTCGTTTTATAATTTACCATAGCCATTAGGATCTTTAACAAGATAAACAAGAACAACTATTGTCCTTAACATTAAAATAGTTCATGTCCGAACATGACATTCATTTTAATGTTCCAGCTATGGTTGGTATAAAGCGACGTTTCTTTAATTCCAATACTAAACCAAAAGATAATGGCAAAAAGTATATTCATACAGGTAATGCAACAACCTTTGCTCATCTCCAACGTGTATGTCAATTTCTCCCTTTCGCAGTGGTCTACTTCCTTGTAGTTTCTCCATATTTGTATAAATATGAAATTTACATCTAGTATCAAATATCTAAAAAACTCGTGAAGTAGACGTAAGTCACGCAATATTCCTTCCAATGACCTTTCATTCTATAATGAAATCAAGGGTCATTAGATTTGGTATTTGTCCTTCGCTTATACTGTCTTAACCATATTGGGTGCTTTCACAAAGCCCCTTTAAACTTCCTCTTAATATATTTAGAGGAATCAATGGTTTGCCCACTACAAACTTTGATAAAGGGGTTAACAGTCCTAAACATGTTAAGCAACTCAATATTTTTGCATTCGAGCTTATTCATGCTAAATTCATAATTAGTTGTGAATAGCTTTAACTGACAGAGATTGCAGAACCAAGTCACTACTTAGTTCATGGTTTGTAATTGAACTCAATTGAGACATTTCTCAACGTCAATCATCTTTAGTGTCTGAGTATCGATTGAAGATTACTCTGTCATTTTGCACCCGTATAGTTGTTCGGAAGTCTCATATCCTTCCACACACGATTATTATCATACAATCCTTTGTAATGAAGGATTATGTGTCAACATCTATACTCTCAAGTTGCTTTTGTAACTCAGTGACATAGTTGCAAGTATCATATACGTTGCAGTACTATTATCATCACTGCGTTTACTATAGTAGCCACCTCTTCTTTAATCGAGTCATCACTAGGTGTCTCTGGAAAGGGCTACTCAAGGACGTGACCAATTCTCTCATGCATAAGAACAATTCTCAAATTGCAGTGTCAATTAAAAAAATATAGTTTGGTTGTTGGCATCTAGTATGCCATTCAAAACATATGGTTATTCAGATTCAATAAATATAAATGACAAAAAGGAAAGAATAATATATAAAATGCATCAATTAATTTAATATGATATTTTATTAAATTAATTATGCTCCCACTGTTTAAATAAAATTTATAACCCTCTCACATAAATTTATGGAGTCCATGCTTGACTCCCAGTGGGCTGGGATCCCATCTATTATATTAAGACCTTGAGTGTACTCAACAAGCCCTAATATAATATTTGGGTAGATACTATTATCAATTGTATCTCCATACAACTCCCAGATAATTAAGCTGACAACTCT